AAGATCATGTTTCTAGCATTTGTAGTTGATGAGTTATAGCCGTTCAAAGGTAACCAATCACACTTGCGTTTCTTTTGGTAGCCACTATATTATAACTAGAAGGCAATTTCCAGAAATCAGGTGGACTCAATTCGTCAGGATACTTTTGTACAGATAGAAACTTGGAATCTGATTTTGTTTTGTTAATAGGATCCAAACTTTCATTGATCTCATAATCATCATTGTCGATATCATTGTAGTTGATATCATTGTGATCAATTTTTGTGGGTGATTTTTCACGGTTATTTGGCATCTGCTTTCTTTTTTCGATATCCTATCAGTTTCAGTGGAAATATACCCATCTCCCATAATATGATTATGATTAAACTGGATTGCACCACTTGTTACAACTTGCTTTGCTTTATTTATCTAATTAAAGAAATATTACTCAGTATTTTTCTATCAAAAATTTTTCAGATAAGTCTACCTTTAAATTTTTGACTGATATTACAGAGCTTTTCGTTTGTTGTCCAGTCTATTCCTTTACAATTAATATAGGTAATGTAATAATGCAGAAATTAATAATAATATAAAAAGAAAAAATTCACATAACAATATAAAACAAAAAGAAGAATTAAATTAAACACTAAGCGTTAAACAAAGAGTTCATGACTGGAGATGAAAAGTTCCAGCTTTTGCTAAGTGTTGAATTAAGAGTGCTATTCCTTTAGACTAAGAGTTCTAGCTTGTACTAGTATCGAACAAAGAGTTCATCATTAGAGACTAAGAGTCCTAACTTGCACTTAACGTTAAACAAAAAGTTCATTACTGTTAGAAGCTTTTAACTCAATCACTATATAGTATTAAGTACTATATAGTAAACCAAGTTCTTTAACTCGTTCATTCGTTCAAGTTCATTCGTTTAAATGTCTTTCCTAATAAATGTTACCTTCCAGTCATTGAGGATTTCTTCAGCTTTACTTCTACGATCTGCGTCAAATTCAGATTTATTTCTAACCTTTTAAAGATCTTTTTTAATGCTATCTAATAACTTTTTCTTTTCTAGAGTTCCAAATGAGTCGAGTCGAGTCAAGTTTAAAGATCAACTTGACTCGACTCTCTTTTTTCAAATTGAGTTGAGTCAAATTTATTTTATAAAATCTTTCAATTTGATTTGATTTGAGTTATATAAATTTTAAACTCGACTCAATTTTAACTCGATTCGATTTTGAAAAAAAATAATAAAAAAAATGAAAAGATCTGGAGGGAGGAAAAGCGAACGATTTATCATCGTTCAAGTTAAACAATTCAGGTTATCGTTTAAGTTGAACGATTCAGGTCATCATTTAAGTTAAACAATTTAGGTCATCGTTAAAGTTGAACGATTCAGATCATCATTCAAATTGAACGATTCAGGTCATTGTTCAAGTTAAACAATTTGAGTCATCATTCAAGTTGAATAATTTGGATCATCGTTCAAGTCAACTCGAGTCAACTCGAATCAAGTCGAGTTTAAATCAAGTTGAGTTAAATATTTAACTCGACTTGAATTTGACTTAACTCACAAATTATTGAATCAAAAAATATAAACTTGACTTGATTTAAACTCGACTTAACTTATCTGACTCGTGAGTTAACTCGACTCATCTGGAACTCTAGTCTGAAATGACATGATCCAAAGTAAAATTCACAAAAATCGGTTATCAATTGATTCTGTATTTGGTGGATTTTGAAATGGCTCATAATCCGGTAACGCATAATCTTCAAAAATTTCAAAATCATTCTCTACAGAAATATCATCATCTTCAGATTCACCTGTAATATAATCTTCTTCAGTAGTAAATTCTAAAGATTCTGAAT